TGGATGAGAGACAACAGGTATAAATATCATTTTCCCATTTCACACAGATATTTGGAATTGTTAGAAGAAATATTCCTACCATCAACACGTTGTTATCCTTTGGCCCTTCCCAGAAACAATCATATTCGTGCATGGTAATTGCCCACATCAAGGGCACTTACGATTCGACCTAAACCACATGGAAGGTTTGTAACTCAAACCCGATGAAAAATGTTTGGGCGAATATTGTCAATGTTTGGAAAATGGCTAATGAAAGGACCTCCCAATAGCTAATAGATCATGCTAAAAGGGAATGGAAGGGGTTCAAATGTGTATCGTATCTAGGTAACTGGGACCTCACATAAGCACGATATATCCGTCTCGGGGATTAGACAAGGTTCTGAATATCTTATAAGTATGACTTCTCCTAGTATTGCTCTTTCTTTTCTGCAGTTATTACCGTTTTTCTTTTTACAAATAAATCAATAGTAAAAATGTCTTCAAAATGAATAAGCATCCTACCAATTATTCGATTTACTGAAATCCCCGGCAAAAAAGGAAGAAAGAAAATGTTTATATATTAATTTGTATATGTATATATTTACATACATGTACTTTTTCTGCCAACTATATTTTGCGCGAGAAGGGATTCAAAATAAAACCAATGAGTTAAAATATAATGTTTAACAACACGCATATGCACATAGTCATCCATTTATATATTGTACCCTACAACGGTTTTGCGTTCAGTGTTCTAAAATGATACATAGCAGATTTTCTGTTAATTGAATCTGTGTTTGGATCTGACGAAAAGAAAACAAGCTATTTTATCAATTCAAAATCATAGGAAGATAATATATGAAAACTGGTTTTGGAACAAAACATAAGTATGCCATTTTTATTTACACCTACGCATATACTGGAGACGGATGTACATTGACAAACAGAAGGAAATGAAGATTGAAAAATATGACAAAAATAAGAAAAAAGAAGAAAGAAAGAAAGGAAGAAGAAGAATGATATATATTATATTCATTAATATATATATGTATATATATATATATATATATATATATATATATATATATATATATATATATGTGCACATTTCATCAGAAGGTATCAAGATATTAGATATCGTACAGCACATGTATTGGGAGTAAATAAATAGACTTTTGATATTCACCCTCGACTTATGGAATAATAATAGCCAAAACTATTGTAAGATTTTAGTACTAGAAACGAATTATACGTAATGTTTCGTTACTCATCACCAAGCACTGACTTAGTATATTAATAGACGCTACACACACACACACACACACACACACACACACACACACACACACACACACACACACATACACACACACAATGATAAAGCATTTACATATTCTTTGTAACCCTACAACGGTTTTGCGTCCAAATCATGGTCTATTATGAAGAATATGTAGCATATTTTCAGTTTATTTAATCAGTGCTTGGTGGCGAAATGAAAAAAAGAACAGTCACTTCATTTGTTCGATCAACCGCTACTAGATGGTATAGCCACGGTCCACGAAAAACATTTACAAATGTATCAGCGACTTTGCAAAGATTTTATGTGATTTAGCAATCACACATAAATGTTCAAAGAATGAAGCGTTTTTATGTTTCAAGAAGTATGCAGCTGTAGTTGAAGACTGTTGTGTTGAAAGAAACGGGAGATACCGCATTAAAAAATATCCTACTACAAAGTTAATGGTAACTGATACTACAAGTTTTGGTATTACTTGTTTGAAGAAAACGACTACATGTAGATTGGATTCATCGCAGAACGTTATCAAAGAGTGGTTGAACAAACATCGTCTGCAGTTCGCCCAGCAGTATGGAGAGCTCACGGGAAGCTCAATTGCTGGATGAGAGACAACAGGTATAAATATCATTTTCCCATTTCACACAGATATTTGGAATTGTTAGAAGAAATATTCCTACCATCAACACGTTGTTATCCTTTGGCCCTTCCCAGAAACAATCATATTCGTGCATGGTAATTGCCCACATCAAGGGCACTTACGATTCGACCTAAACCACATGGAAGGTTTGTAACTCAAACCCGATGAAAAATGTTTGGGCGAATATTGTCAATGTTTGGAAAATGGCTAATGAAAGGACCTCCCAATAGCTAATAGATCATGCTAAAAGGGAATGGAAGGGGTTCAAATGTGTATCGTATCTAGGTAACTGGGACCTCACATAAGCACGATATATCCGTCTCGGGGATTAGACAAGGTTCTGAATATCTTATAAGTATGACTTCTCCTAGTATTGCTCTTTCTTTTCTGCAGTTATTACCGTTTTTCTTTTTACAAATAAATCAATAGTAAAAATGTCTTCAAAATGAATAAGCATCCTACCAATTATTCGATTTACTGAAATCCCCGGCAAAAAAGGAAGAAAGAAAATGTTCATATATTAATTTGTATATGTATATATTTACATACATGTACTTTTTCTGCCAACTATATTTTGCGCGAGAAGGGATTCAAAATAAAACCAATGAGTTAAAATATAATGTTTAACAACACGCATATGCACATAGTCATCCATTTATATATTGTACCCTACAACGGTTTTGCGTTCATTGTTCTAAAATGATACATAGCAGATTTTCTGTTAATTGAATCTGTGTTTGGATCTGACGAAAAGAAAACAAGCTATTTTATCAATTCAAAATCATAGGAAGATAATATATGAAAACTGGTTTTGGAACAAAACATAAGTATGCCATTTTTATTTACACCTACGCATATACTGGAGACGGATGTACATTGACAAACAGAAGGAAATGAAGATTGAAAAATATGACAAAAATAAGAAAAAAGAAGAAAGAAAGAAAGGAAGAAGAAGAATGATATATATTATATTCATTAATATATATATGTATATATATATATATATATATATATATATATATATATATATGTGCACATTTCATCAGAAGGTATCAAGATATTAGATATCGTACAGCACATGTATTGGGAGTAAATAAATAGACTTTTGATATTCACCCTCGACTTATGGAATAATAATAGCCAAAACTATTGTAAGATTTTAGTACTAGAAACGAATTATACGTAATGTTTCGTTACTCATCACCAAGCACTGACTTAGTATATTAATAGACGCTACACACACACACACACACACACACACACACACACACACACACACACACACACACACACACACACACACACACACACACACACACACACAATGATAAAGCATTTACATATTCTTTGTAACCCTACAACGGTTTTGCGTCCAAATCATGGTCTATTATGAAGAATATGTAGCATATTTTCAGTTTATTTAATCAGTGCTTGGTGGCGAAATGAAAAAAAGAACAGTCACTTCATTTGTTCGATCAACCGCTACTAGATGGTATAGCCACGGTCCACGAAAAACATTTACAAATGTATCAGCGACTTTGCAAAGATTTTATGTGATTTAGCAATCACACATAAATGTTCAAAGAATGAAGCGTTTTTATGTTTCAAGAAGTATGCAGCTGTAGTTGAAGACTGTTGTGTTGAAAGAAACGGGAGATACCGCATTAAAAAATATCCTACTACAAAGTTAATGGTAACTGATACTACAAGTTTTGGTATTACTTGTTTGAAGAAAACGAAAGATGAAAGGGCTTACGTAGTTTCCAAAAATATATACTAATACACTTGTTGGTCCTTTTTATTCTACCATCACAGTCTTTGTTATAAACATTCATAAAAAGGCTATTTACTCTAAGCTTACATCGATATTGTTACCAGATGTACAAAAGTAGGTCCTGGCAAGTATACTGAAATATAATTCTCTTATGGGGGTTGCTAAGGGTCCTCAGGTGGGTCGTGAAACATTTTGCTAGGCCTTCGTTAATGCTCACATAAACAATATTGTACAATTAAGTAAATAATGTTTGTGCAGTTTTCTCCGAGACTAAAATAGGTAGTGAGAAAAATCATTAATGAGTCGGTTGATATCAGGGGGATCACGTATGCGCCAGAGGTCGCTAGTGCACAAAACAGTTTGATAACACAGATGTAGAGGATCGCTATGAATGAAGGGACGAAAATTTTTTCAAATTTATTATTCTATTTCCATCTCGAAATACAAGAAACTTAATCTAAGACGTCATGTTGGAGACTGCTGGTTCCTTGGCTAGTCCACTGTAATCATTATATGAATAGTATCATCAACAAGCCTGTAAGGCGACAAAATACATATTGGTAGCATATATGATGCGATAAAATATGAAACAAATATTTGATAACGAACTGATTTCATTCACAGTAACAGTCCTTTTTTACACATACAAAAAAAAAAAGGAAAGACGAAAGTTCACGTCTAGATTTCCATATCAAATATTTCTTCATGTCCGTTCATATATTCATAAGGGTAAAAGTTTTTTTTTTTATATTCGAATTTCCTTATCCATATTAAATATAAACCATCTTACAAATGTAATCAACATATAATGTACGTCTTACCTAATTGTGTTTCTCTCATCTGTGTTCATTAACCTTGGTATGAGTCAACGATTACAGCCAAGTGCATCTCATGACTAACATGTAGCATTCAATGTGAAAAAAATATAAATATTCAAACACATCCATCGCCGTTCCTTTGCTCAATATGCAGTTTTTATATCAGTGCTCATTTTTTAAATGGGATACAAAAAGTTCACCATCAGTACACTAGACTGCAAAATTGGATTAATGAGAACCATATGTAAAACTAAGTATCTACAGCGAATCTTAAATATAGTAATGTCTGAGTGGCATGACGTTCCAGGTTAGGCAGATATGCATAATGCAGATATGAGCTCGATGGGAAAATTCTGAGACGCTTGCATTAACAAAAAGAAAGAAACAGGAAAATATAAAATTAGTCACTGCCAAACACACATTTTTGTACGGATAGTTTTGCAATGTATAGATATTAACATTTATAATAATGCATAGATATGTTTTCCAGTCTTA